AGGCTCCAGGCTCCAGGCTCCAGGCTCCGAGCTGTCAGCACAGAGCTGGACACTGGGCTCGAACCCACGAGCAGTGAGATCATGACCTGAGCCAAAGTCGGACACCCAACCAACTGAGCCACCCAGGTGCCCCTATATTATGCATATTTTAATCACAATTGTTTTTAAAAGGTTCGTATCTCTATGAAATCTAATTTTAATTGAATATTTATTTTGTGAACAAAAAGTGAGTACTGTTCTTCAGATTACACCCATGGCAGGAATTAACAAAAGTTTTATTTGGATGTCAATTCTTATGCTAAATTGATCCAGAACAAATGCAAGCAAGAACTGATATTAGGATCACCATCACTGAGCCAGAGTCTGCACACTAACTGCATGAGAAGGTAACCAGATTCCCCCAAGAGTCTAGCAGACAAACAGTAGGCCTGTTGCTCATCACCATGGCTACAAAATCCTTTGGGCATAAAGTAGGACCTGCATTCTTCAGAAATGGTCTGGGAGAATGGCTTTGCCTTCAAGTCTAGCAAATGAAACTCAGAGAGGGAGTCTTAATAAAATAGACAGTAAACTAGTTAAAATCTCTGCCACTGAGTCAGTCTGAGCAGGAGAGAGGAGTCTGGCACATCATAAATTACTGATACTAATGTTTTTTAAAAAAAAGGAAGGAAGAAAGAGCTCCTGCAGGTGTTAAAAACTGAACATAGATTGAATGAAAAAGAAAGTAGCTAAGCATGCTGGGATTGGATTTTATGTATATGTATATGTATATGTATATGTATATGTATATGTATATGTATACACACACACACACACACACACACACACACACACAGAGCTATGTCTTATGTCATAATGCTGATTGCTTTTTGAAGCCTATTATGAATTTAACACAGAGACTGAAATAGTGAATATGGGAAGTTGCTAGCCTGGTTCCTCTGTCAAGCCCACCATTCACTCGGGCTAAATTTACCAATTTCCAAAAGAATATAATAATGGTTGCCCTGTTGATAGACAATGTTTAAAGTCATCAATTTGAGATAATAACACCAGAGACCTTAAAAATATTTGGCGGGGGGGGGGGGGTGGTGCCTGGATGGCTCAGTTGGTTAAGCATCTGACTTAGGCTCAGGTCATGATCTTGCGGTTTGTGCGTTCGAGCCCTGCGACGGGCTCTGTGCTGACAGCTCAGAGCCTGGAGCCTGCTTCAGATTCTGTGTCTCCCTCTCTCTGTCCCTTCCCTGCTTGTGCTCTGTCTCTCTGTCTGTCTCTCTCTCTCTCTCAAAAATAAACATGAAAAAAATTTTTTCAAATAAAAATAGCTACACTTTATTAACTATCTATATGTAGCTGATACTCTTGCTTGTTTTATATAACCTCATTGGGTTCTATGAGCATCATATATGTTACCATTATCATTGAACAAATGAAAAACCTAGGGTTCTGAGAGGTTAAGTAGCTTGGCTTGTTCAAGGTCACTAGCACATAATCAGCAGAGCTGGGATACAAACACAGATCCATTAGACTCTGTTAAAAATAAGAAATTTGTGTTAAAAATTTGTATTAAAAATAAGAAAATTTCCAGTTACTTTTACATTTACTAATTCCATTTTAAGAAGTTGCATTTTATCATTCTGAAAATGTTATTCCTAATGCATTTTGCCCAGCATCTGTAACACCTCATATTTGAAAAGTAATTTATTTTTTTTCACGTTTTCCATTTTCTCATTTAATTCTCATAGTGTTGGGAAGGACATATTTTAATTTCCATTTTACACATAATGACAATTGAAATGCAAAGATCTTAAGCGCTTTGCATAAAGCCACTAATTAGTGGCTGAGCCAGCATTCAAACTGGAGTCATCTTACTCCACATCCAATACTCTTTTCAACACACAGGTGGAAGTTGACTTGAGACTGTGGCATTGCTGAACAAAAAGTGGAGGAAAACTAAAATTTCCAAAATGACTTTAAAATAATTCCAAAAGAGTATCACCCTCTTTCCAGTCCCTATCCACCAGAGTAACCAACATTACGCTTGTTGTGTACCTTCTAACTCTTTTTTAAAGGACTAATAAAAACAGATACACATTTATATGGTTTCAATTTTTTTTTTAGTGTTTTGTAATACTATCATCCTATAGATATTCCTTGCAATTAGATTTTTTTTTCAGTTTACATTACTTCAGATAAATCATATGGGCCTAACTACTTTTCAAGATATGGGAGAATTTACATAAGAACATGTTTAAAACAAGGACAGAAATTCAATGCAACAAATATTTACAGAGCCCCTACTATGTGCCAGGCACTGTTCTATGCATTCTAGGTTACAGCAAAGAACAAAACAAAAGTGTTTGCCCTTGGCCTGCCACACTTTGCCATTGTGTACTGACCCCACTTTTATCAATAACAGTTTTAGCATATGTGTTTGCTAATACAACATATAATTTATTATATTAACAGTGGCACAAATTATATAGCATGGGTATATAATAATTTATTGGTTGACATTCAGTTTATGCTTTGTTTTGATTTTTACAATCAATGATGCAATTAACAGCCAAACTACATATATCCAATGTAATGATGATTTTATTTTTTCTGAAGAATTGGTTTTTAAAAGGATTGCTGACCCAGCAATGTACATACGTACATACATACATACATACATACATGGTTTAACTTTAACAAAATTTTTTAGATTTTTTATTTATTTTTTAAGTAATCTCTACACCCAACATGGAGCTCCAACTCACAACCCCAAGATCGAAAGTTGCATGCTCTACCTGAGCCAGGCAGGAGCCCCATTTACAGTTTAACTTTTAATAAATTCATTAAATTACTTCCAATAAAAGGTTGTAGCAATTATATTCTTCCACCAGGTTATGACAGCGCTGATTTCCCTACCTCCTTACTATCACTGAATTTTAGGTCTTTAAACTGATAGACAAACTGATAGACAAACAAAAAAGTTTGATATTACTGACCTAGTTTGCATTCCCCTGGCTTTTCTACTAGAAATGACTAAGCATCCTGACATATGTTTATTGACCATTTGTATTTCCACTTAATATTAATTGCTAATATTAGAGTCAGGCACTGGAATGTGCGTCATCTCATTTGATTATCACAATAACCCTATCAGAGAGATAACGTTTTCTTCCTCTACCCCTTTTACAAATGAGAAAACCGTTTCCAAGAGGTTATGAAATTTGCCCAAGGTCACACAGCTGGCAAGGTGATAGAGTGAGGGTTTTAACAAGTCTGACTGTAGGGTTTCTGGGCTTAACTACTACATAAACTGCCTCTGCTGCCAAGGAACATTTTCAAGTCAATCCCTCCAGCTTCATTCCCTCCTTTCTAGTGAAGTCTGAACAACTTGGTTAAACTAGCAAATATTTAATCCTTGCAGAAGACACTATGGTAGACATTATTGGGTGATCTGAAGAAGAGCTCCTGCCCCCAAATCTTATTGGGGAACCAAAGTACATTTTATGTAAGGAACATATGTATCAGGTTTTTAAAGGGATTTTATTTAATGTCAACAACTTTGGTATGGTCAACAAACTTATCAATGTAGAGAAGTGAACAATCACACAAAACTCTGCAGCCTGACAGAATTTAATATTATTCAAGAGTAGTGTAGGGAATACGGCAAACAACTGCGAAATGAGAGTTAAAGCTGATGTAGCTTTAATGTAGGAAACAAATCACTTTTGAGATGATGTTATTTCTAAAGAAAAGCAATACTAACCTGGTTGAACAAAAACTACCGCACAGACCTCTCCCTTCCCATTCGTCCTCACCAACCAACTTCTCCATTCCCCAGGTGTGCTCAGTGGCTCTGGTACTATCCACCCAGGTGGTGCTGAAGCAGGTGCTTCCTCCCGTTTTGCGAAGCCATTTCCAGTACAGCCCTAATACCCTTGGTCTCCTCTTGCTTCCCAAATCATGAGCTGTCAACCGACTTCTCCCGTGGAGACGCTCCAATCTCGCTCAATAGGAAATCTAAATTCTGCCTTGTCGCAAGGGGTGCCCTGCCAATAATCTTGTGGCCAATTCCTCCTCTTGGCCATTGTCACAAGGGTTATTAGCTCATTTTCAAGATTTATGTAAATATACGCGACTCATTACACCGTGTCATCCTTGAGAAAAAGATATACATAATAGAAATACATATCTACAAGAAGGTGGAGTTCTTTGAATATGTATTGGTTATTTTCTTTCTTTTTTTTTTTTTTTCCTTGCACACATTTCTAATCCAGTTTAGTTTGCTGGTCACATTAGATGGAATTGCGCCTTCCCTCGGCCATTTCCCCCAAGCTTTGGAAGGACTCATATTTCCTGACATCTAAATCACTGGCTAGCGGTTTCCTGCCCCGCTTCCCGTCTCCTTTTCGCCTCTCAGCCTCCTCCTGCCTGGCTGGTGCCCCGATTCGCCAGCAATGGTGTCCACAGCTCTCAGTCGACCGAAGTGGTATCCAGATTACGAGGTCTCGGTCCTTGGTGTAGTGTCGCTTAACCCCAGCACCCCAGTACCTCCTCCTTCCCAATCCTCTTCTCCGCCCGCCCCGCGTGGCTCTAGGAGGAGCCTAAATGTCCTCTTCCCCAGCTGAAGGGGATTGTGGTGCGTAAACAGGATTAACTCTCTCGCCCCCAGCTGCGCGGATCTGCCCCGGGCCTGCAGGCTGGAGCGAACCCATCAGTGCGCGGAGGGCGCAGCACCGGAGCGGGGGATGGGGCAGCTCGGGGCCTCGGAGCTATCTCCCGGGCGCGCTTCCTCGCCGAGTGGGGCGGGAGGCCACGGCCTCAGGAGCTGCTTCTCAAAACCCAGGGCGAACGGCCGCGACGGCGCGGGCTCTTAGCTGCAGCCTCCTCTCCGCCACCACCCTCTCCCGCCCCGTGCTTCCTCTCCGCCCCCCACGCTCCAGCCGCTCGGTCGCAGCCCGCGCAGTCCTCCGCCCCCCGGAGCCTCCGCGCCGGTCCCGCACCCAGCCATGGGGGACCTGCCGGGTCTCGTGCGCCTCTCCATCGCGCTGCGCATCCAGCCCAACGACGGCCCGGTCTTCTTCAAGGTGGACGGGCAGCGCTTCGGCCAGAACCGCACCATCAAGCTGCTCACCGGCTCCTCCTACAAGGTGGAGGTGAAGATTAAGCCCACCACGCTGCAGGTCGAGTGAGTAAGCGCGCGCACCGCGGCTGCCCGGCCCCGCTAGGGGTCCGCGCGGAGGACTGAGGCCCCCGGGACAGCCTGAGCCTCTCCCCAGTCCCTCTGGCCTCGTGTCGCGCCCAGCGGGCCCAAGGGTGGGGGAAAGAGGTCAGTTCCCTGCTCTTTTTGGTCCCCTCCTCTGTTTTATGCTTGACTTTCCCTATTCACGCTTCCTTCCACCCATTGCGGGGAGGGATGTTTAAAACAGCGTCAGGAAGCCAGGGTTGAGCCGAGGGTTTGTTTTCTTGCAAATTTTTCATCCCTTTTGCCCAGCCCTCGGCGCGGACCCCGAGGCATCCCGGGTGGTTCACCTACCGCAATCCCAGCCCTGTCGACTCGCCGGATTCAGCCAACCGCGAAGCTAAGGAGCGAGAAGGGCTGAGGAATGAGGTGTAAAGGCGGGGATGGGATGATTATTGGGGTTCCCTAAGGGATGCACCCTACTCCACCATCAGCCCTGTGACTGGAAACCTTGGGGCTGGAGTAGCAGCCATAAATCCGAGCTCAGCCTCCTCTGCTTGGGCCTAGTTTCCCGGTTTTCCTTGCCAGGTGTTTTTCATTTTCTCCTGATTTGTTTGTTCATCCTGGTGATGGTGCCTGGGATTAGCAACCTCCCTGCCACAAAAGGATGTTTCTTGGTTTATTTGTGGCAGGGATTATCTCTCCCCTGCTACCACAATTTGGTTCACCCAGTAGACTTCTTCAGTATAGAATGGTGCAGTAGTTTATGGGGAAGTATCTAGGGATGGAATCTGTTACCTCTCAGCTTCCACTTAAAAGCATGGTGTGAAGTTTAATATGGAAAGGGGAAATAAACCAGCTTACACTATATCTACCATGTGCTGAGCTCGCAGGGCGGGGAAGGGTTTTGAATCCACCAGATACCTTGTATAGCTGAAGTGTCATCTGTAGTCATTAAATTCAATAAACTTGTATTGGCGTTCTAGGTATCAGGCCCTAATTCAAGGACCTAGAACAAAACTGGTTTGTTTCTGGTGCTCTGGCCCATCTACTTGTCACTGTCCCCCACAGCTACATGCACTGGTTACTTTCATTTCCCAGAGTTCTGTGCATCCCCATATGATCCAGACTTCCTTTCCCATCTTTCCTGGCAACCTCTTCTCCCAAGTTATCTGTTCTATAACACGTTTTCTTCAAGGTGGTTCTCTATTTTTTTTAAACTAATCTAAAATGAATGTGTTAATGACAACTATTTTTTCTATTTACACTTTAATTTTATCAAGTCTTTTTTTTTTTTTTTTTACTGCCCTAACCTAGTAGTTCTTAAACTTGAGTGTCTGTCAGAATCATCTAAAATGTTTATTAAAACACAGATGGCTGAGTCCCACCCTAGTTTCCAGTTTGCTATGTCTAAGGGTAGAGCTTAAAATTTTGTTTTAGGCAGGTGATGCTGACACTGCTGGTCTAGGAACATACCTTGAGAATCACTACCTTAACACAAAGGAATGATGTCAGTGAGAATTCCTGATTCTGTGGCTGGCTTTGAGTAGCCCAAATCATGGGACCTCTGATTGTTGGAACAGAAAAAATCATGAAATAACTAGTTCAGTGTTTCTCAACCCTACTTGCACGTTAGAATCACCTAGAGAACTTTAAGATAAATTTGCCAGTGCCCAGACAACACCCAACCAGTTGAATTCTAAGTTCTAGGGTCGGGAATGGGGCTGGGTATAGGTAAGTTTTTCATAGCCCCACAAATGACAAACTATAGAGGAGGACTGATGGAGTCTGACTCAGCCTTGTACAAGTGTTCTGGATGAGAATACTGAGGTGAGTCCAGAGAGTTTAAGTAGTTGGTCTAGGGTCACGTGACTGGTTAGTTGGAGAACTCAAGACTCCTGACTTTTCAGAACTTTCTACAACACCAGAATGTCTCCTTTAGCCAAACCCAGTAGGATTCCTGCCTAGGGTGTGGTCCAGACCAGGATGGGGTACCTAAGCTAATTCCTACCATATATAGTTAACCTCTGTCCATTGCAGGAACATTTCCATTGGTGGTGTGCTTGTCCCATTGGAGCTGAAGTCTAAAGAGCCTGATGGTGACCGAATTGTTTACACGGGCACATATGACACGGAAGGTGTGGCCCCAACCAAGAGTGGAGAACGGCAACCCATCCAGATCACAATGCCGGTAAGACCTGTATGGGGGTGTCAGGGCAAATGGAAACCATGGAAAAGAAAACAGTCACTATCTTCCCTTAAGAAATAAAAGGAAACACTATGAAATTATAAAATATTATTTTAATTCATCATTTCATATTGGAATCTATTTGTCTATAATATCCCAATGCAGTTAATTAAATAATCCATGCTTCTTCAATGGTCAGTTTCTTAGTAATTTCTTATATGGCAAAAATATTAAATCTCTTCCCACACTTTCTAATCTGTTCCATTGATCTGTCTATTCTTAGGCTAATACTGCATTGTTTTAAATGTATTGCTTTTATAATATGTGTTCATGTATTTTGTAACTGGCCACCTTATTAAATTTGCTTGCTAAAATTTTTCATTTAATCTTAGGTTTTTCAGATAGGCAGTCATAATCTACATATAACTGTCATTTTCTGAATCTTGTTTCTAGCCTTACTGCACTGGCTAATGTTTTTAGAATAGTGTTGCATGCTAATGGTGGTAAGAGGTATCCTTGTCTTCAGGGTTTTACTATTAGGTACAATGTTAGTTTTAAATATTTATCATGTTAAAGCATCCTTTTTCTAGTTCACTAAGAGGTATTTTTTTTAGTTGGGAGATGTGTTGAATTTTATCTGATTCCTTTTCCCGTCTATGGAGATAATTGATCTACTTTGATACATTAATGTAAGAATTATATAATAAACTTTCCAATAATAAACTACCCTTTACTTCCTAAAATAAACCGTACTTAAATGTTATGTATTTTTTTTTTTAATTTTTTTTTTCAACGTTTATTTATTTTTGGGACAGAGAGAGACAGAGCATGAACGGGGGAGGGGCAGAGAGAGAGAGCGAGACATAGAATCCGAAGCAGGCTCCAGGCTCTGAGCTGTCAGCACAGAGCCCAATGCGGGGTTCAAACCCACAAACCTCGAGATCATGATCTGAGCTGAAGTTGGACATGTAACCAACCGAGCCACCCAGGCACCCCGAGAAAAATTTTAAATCAACAGTAATCCCTACATTTTGACTCTGTTGATTTTCAGATTACCTTTCACATATATATAGTTTAGAGTTGCAGTCATTTTTATTATATAATCGTGCAACATTCTATACATATTCATTGTTATAATTTTAATGGCAACATAAGACTGTATAATGCTATGTCATAATGATGAGACTGTTCCCCAGAGATTAGGTATGTCAATTGTTCTCATCATAAAAAGTGCTATGATGAATAATTCTGTGCATATAACTACCTCAATAGGAGTAATATTATTTGGCCAAAAGAAATCCTTATGGCTGTTCCCACATATGGCCATTTGTTTTCTGTTTTTGTTTTTTGTTTTTTTTTTTTTAAGTGTTGTATGTACTCACTTTACAATGTTACCAGCAATACAGTTATGTCTACAATATAGTTATGTCTACAATATAGTTATGTCTGCTATAATCATGACATAATGGGGAATTAGTTTAAAAAATAATACATTTTCTACTTTACACTTTTTACTATAATTTACAAGAATGAACATTTCAACATTTAATTTTCTTTTTGTGTAAATTGGTTCTTTCATGTTTTGTCAATATTTCTATCAAAGATTATTTTTTAAAAATCAGAGTCCTAGGGCATGCCTGGGTGGCTCGGTTGAGCATCTGACTCTTGATTTCAGCTCAGGGCATGATCTCAGGGTCATGGATAGAGCCCCTCATTGTGCTCTAAACTGAATGTGGAGCCTACTTAAGATATTCGCTCTCTCTCCCCTCTTTCCCCTCTCTAACCTCCATCTGCCCCTCTACCCTGCTCACATGCTTGCTAGCACTCTCGCTCTCTCTCAAATGAAATAAAGTAAGGGGCGCCTGGGTGGCTCAGTTGGTTAAGCACACAGCTTCAGATCAGGTCATGATCTTGTAGTCTGTGAGTTCGAGCCCCACGTCGGGCTCTGTTCTGACCCCTCAGAGCCTGGAGACTACTTCAGATTCTGTATCTCTCCCTTTCTGCCCCTTCCCCACTCATGCTCTGTCTCTCTCTCAAAAATAAGTGAACATTAAAAAAAAATTTTAATAAAATGAAATAAAGTAAAATAAAAAAGTGGAGTTCTCATGAAGATTTTTTTATATCTGTCATATCTGTCGTATTTCTCTCACTATTGCTTACTTTAATTTTCCATTGTGAAGAAACATAATTACATTTAAATCTCTCCTTTTCTTTTATGATTTCTTCTATTTAAAACTGAGAAAGTTATTTTTCCAGAGTTGACAGTTTATTTTGATCTTTCCATAATTTTAGATTTTATGTTATTTAACTTTCTGCTCATTCAAACTTGATTTATATGTTTATACTATAGATCATCTTACAAAGGATTTAAGATTGTATTAGCATGTTTTGAGTCCCAGTGGTAAAGCCCAGGTTCTTACCTATAATGCCCACATCTAGAAGCAAGTGCTTGATAGTTGATTGTTCCAACAATGACCACACTGGTCATGAGCATTGTCCATGTACTTGTATGGTATCTGTAATAGGCTGATTCTAAGGAAAAAATTGAAGTTATAGAAGATTTCCTGATAAAGTCAGCAGACTTAATGTTAAATTCAAATTTCATTCTAGTAATGAAAGCCTCACATAGCCTTTAACACTATTTTATGACTTTTGTCATCAGTGTTTCAAGCTTAAGTATTGTAAATTACAGACACAACCACACTTTCACAGACAATAAGGAAGTCTTGAAATGTCCAAGTAAATCCAATTAATCAAGTAGGTGAATCCAGCAAGGGAAACTGAATTAAGGGTATACAAGAGAAACTTCTTAGAAGTGTAAAGTTACTTCAAAGTATTTTTTTTTTATCTTTGGATAAATAATGCTGGGATTATTGGCTATTTGGCGGGGGGGGGGGGAGGGGTGGGGAATCACTGTTATTCTTTCCTGATATCATACCTCAAAATATATTTCAGATGGATCAAGGGGTTAACTGTAAAAAGTCAACTTCTTAAAAAATTGGCATGAAAAGAATTAACTTAAACCTGAAAGAAATGGAAGATATCCAAAGCTAAAAATTGAAAGTTTTGATTAAATGCAATGTAAAGTTTCTGTCAAACATCATAAAGTTAAATTTTCATTAAAACATTTAAAAAATTTTTTAACATTTATTTATTTTTGAGGGAGAGAGAGAGACAGAGCGCGAACTGGGGAGAGGCAGAGAGAGAGGGAGACACAGAATCTGAAACAGGCTCCAGCACAGAGCCTGACACAGGGCTCGAACTCACAAGCTGTGAGATCATGACCTGAGCCGAAGTCGGATGCTTAACTGACTGAGCCACCCGGCACCCCATCATTAAAAGACCATTTAAATTAAAAGGCAAATAGCAATTGGTGAAAAACTTATTTGTAACATGCATAGTATCCTAAGCTATGTTGCCTTGATTTTCAGCCACTGCCCACACAGACCTTGCTTGCTGCCATTAGTGACTTTTCACAGCCCTTTACTACCCACTGAAGCTGAAGGCAGGAAGTAGTCAAATGATATCTGACTTAGGCTGATGGCAGTGATCTGTTTATTCAGATAATTCCAGAGGCCCCAGCACTGAGAGTGAATAAAGTGATACCCAATTCTTAAAGCTCTCAACGTGCACTTCAAACACCAGCACTGATTTGAACGTTAATGTGACTGATGCCCCACTCAGTCCCTCCAAGGAGAGAGTCCAGGTGGAGATTCTGTTGGCACAAATCATCCCATTCCCCTTTTGTTGGCCCTCTTCAGTGGGAGGCTGGTGGGAGTTTGAAGGAACAAAAAGGGCAGGGACTTATAGGAGCTTGTTAGGAGGCTATGTGCACAGAGGTAGGTAGCCTTACAATCTTCCCAAATAGAAAAGTTGTTCCTCATGTCAGCTCTGTGGAGTCATTTGGCAAGATCTGTAACTTAATATACAAAGAATTCTTAGAAACCAGTGAGAAAAAGATAACCATGGGATGTGGCAAATGGAAAAATAAGCAAAAAACAAACAAACAAACAAACAATTCACAGAAGAGGAAATACAAATGACCAATGTATATATTTTTAAATGGCTTGATTTCACTATTGTTAAAAACGAAAACAAAAAACAAAACCCTACAAATAGTGCAATGCCAATTTTCACCTACAAAGTTGGTGAAATATTAAAAAAATAATACCAGTTCAGTGCGAGCATATTTCTTAATGAAATATAGTAATTTTTATAAATTGATTTTGTATCCTACATACTTGCTAAATTCACTTATTAATTTTAGTAGCTTTTTATTATATTGCTTAGTATTTTCTGCAGAGTTGTTCATCTATAAATAGAAACAGTTTTACTTTCCCTTTTTTTTCCCCCTCTTGCCTTAAGGTGCTGGCTAGGACCTTCAACACAGTGCTAAACAGAAGTAGTAAGAGCTGATGTTCTTGCCTTATTTCCAATCTTACAGGGAAAGAACTCATTCTCTTACCTTTAAGGGTGATATTAACTATAGATTTTTTTATCAATGCCCCGTAGTCAGATTAAAGAACTTTCTTTCTAGTCCCAGTTTGCTGAGAATTTTTATCATGAATGGATGTTGAATTACCAAATGTTGAATTATCCATTTATGGATATGATAATATGGCTTTTCTTCTTTATTTTTGTTAATACGGTGAATTACAGGGATTTTAAATTATTGAACCATCCTTGAGTTCCAAGGATAAACCTCTCTTGGTACTGTTGTAAGATCCTATTTCTAGATTTGATTTATTAATATTTCAAGCAAATAAAAGTTAAAAGCAAATTTTATGCATATGTCCATGAGGAATTTTTGTCTGTAATTTACCTTGTAGTATCTTTGTCATTTGTGTTAGGATAAAACTGGCTTCATAAGATGAATTAAGGGGCAGATGGCTGACACAGTCAGAAGAGCATGCAACTCTTAATCTCTGGGTTGTGAGTTCGAGCCCAACATGGGGTATAGAGATTACTAAAAAATAAAGTCTTTAAGGGGTACCTGGGTGGCT